GATGGGCTTGGACCTGGTACCTCCAACCTGTGGACATTTGGCTACCCTGGGGCCTCTTCTTTCCTTGGGTGCCCTGACTCAGCTGCTAGGACATCCTCTTACATGGCCTTTTTTTTTTGTCTTTTTTTGGGAGACAGGGTCTCCCTGTAGCCACAGCTGGCCTGGAACTCATTATGTGGATCAAGCTGGCCTCCATCTCACAGAGATCCTCCTGCCTCTGCCTCCTGAGTGTTGAGATTAAAGGCTTGTGCCACCATACCTGGCTCCATTACTGTCTTAGTTTGTTCTCTATTGCTGTGACAAAACACTCTGACCAGTACCAACTTGGGGAGGAAAGGGTTTATTTGTCTTACATCTCCCAGGTCGCACGCAGTTCATCAGGGAGCCCAAGGTAGGAACTCAGGGCAGGAATCTGGAGGCAGGAGCTGGAGCACAGGCCATGGAGGAATGCTGCTTACAGGCTTGCTCCCTCGGCTCCTGCTCAACCTGCTTTCTTATGCAACACAGGCCCACCTGCCCAGGGGTGGCACCACCCACAGTGGGCTGGGCCCTCCCACATCACTCATCAAGAAGATGCCCCTCAGACATGGCCACAGGCCAGTCCAATAGAGGTAATTCCCCGATTGAGGCTCCCTCAACCCAGGTGTGTCAAGTTGACACTAAAGCTATCCAGCACAATGGCCATTTAACAAGTCATCTAAGTGGCATCAGGGTCTCAGGCATAAAATGTACTTTGCGTTCTACAGCCCTTTAAAAACCTGATTGATTTAAAACACTGTCTCAAAAATCCCCAAATAGGGCTAGCCCCCTGGCTGCCATCTATACTGCCACTGAATTTAGCCTACTGGTCTCAGGTCCTTCTGCTCCCCACCCCCTTAATCCCTACCAGGGCAACTATACCCCACAATGGTCTGGTTTGTTGACTCTGTGCTTGCTGCCCTACCCCTACAGTAATGGTGGTCCCTATCTCTGAACCTGAGAGATGGAGGATGAGTGGATGCTAAGGTCTTGTGAGGCAGAGAGACCTATGCACTCAGGTACTATGAGGTGAGATGAGAGATGGGGAGGCCTGGATACTCAGGGCCCAGGTGAGGCAACTTTGGTACTCAGGTCCTGTGAAGTGGTTGGTCCATCACTCAGACCCTATATTCTGACTGATGACTGACCTCCCAAATCCTCCCACATCTGAGTCCCAGCCTAATTTAGGCCCTGACACTTGGGCTTATGGTCTTATAAGGTAAAGTCATGGTCTGGACCTCCTGTCTCAGCTGTCACTTGACTGGTGATGTGATGGGTCTGGCCTTGTAAGGACTGTTTTCAGGTAGAATTTGGCCTTCCATGCTCTCAATTTGACTTTTATATTTTCTAAATGTGTTCATAGTCAAAGCACATCTTTGCGCGTGATTGTGAAAGTACGTATTAAAGGGACATTCACTGGAATGTCCATTCAAATTCCATCACTTTTTTATTCACCCAAAACACCTACCAAGTCTCATATGCCTGACTGAGGACCACATGATGGAGATAGATTCCTCCTGTTTAATTAAATGCTTCTGAGGAGATGGTGGGGAGGATGGAGAAGTGGAGCAAGGAGACACTCTGAGTGAAAGCAGGATGGGAGCGTGTGGGGTGTGTGAAGTGTCTTCTTGTGGAAAGACCTGCTTGGGAATAGAGAGCCAAATAAAGCAGAGGGGTGTTCCCTTATGCAGAAAGGGCCATGCAAAGGCCCTGAGATGGCTTCTGGAAGAGTATCAGAGCTAGGGGGAGGTGGTCGGAGTGAGAGGTCAGAGTGGACAGTGACGTGGTACATGTAGGTGTAGATTTGAGCCTGTCAAGAGGCCTGTGCTTATTTGTCTTGTTTTATTACTTTTTACAATGCACATTGTTGAATGTAATTGATAATAGAATTGTGTAATGAACCCAAGGTGGTCATTAGGAAGGCACCCTGAGCTTACAGAAAGAATTCAGAAAGCCTACAAGATAGCTTAGCAGGTAAAGGCACTTGCTCTCAAGCCTGATGACCTGAGTTCGATTCCCCAGAACCCAAATGGCAGAAGGAGAGAATACTCTCACAGGTTGTTCTCTGATCTCCACACAAATGCTGGGGCATGCACATTCCCACACACAAACACATAAAATAAATGAAGTTTTAAAAATGTAATAATTTTTTTTAAAGGATGGAGGGATTGGGGATTTAGCTCAGTGGTAAAGCCCTTGCCTGGCAAGTGCAAAGGTCCTGGGTTCAGTCATCAGTTCCAGAAAAAAAAGAATGGAATTCAGGGTCTCTCTTCCCTCAAGAGGGGGCCCGGAGGAATTGGAGCTGTAGGTTGAATCTCCCAATACTTTATTGCAAAGATTTTCAAATCTGCATCCATGTTTAAATAATGTTTCACTGGGCATGTATGTGGCTCCCTCTCCCCATATTCTACATGCTTCCTCACACATCTGGGCATGGAGAGATGATTTTATTTTAAAAGTTGGATTTTTATTTTGGTCTTTGCTTTTTACATATGGTAATGGACAGATGTTTTATTTGTGTTCACATTCTTTCTCAGTGAGAGAGAAAAACACAGAAAGAAAAATAAGAAAAGAAATAAAAAATAAAAATGGAATGTAAACTAAAAATAGGACTAAGTAGATAGTATAGTCAGTAAAGTAATTGCCTTGCAAGTATGAGATCATGAGTTCCATCCCATAACCCATGCAAAAAATTTTTTTAAAAACTGGACATAGGCCCCAAATGATAAAGTATGCCTTTAATCTCAGCATTTGGGAAGCAGAGGCAGGCACATCTCTGTGAGATCAAGGCCAGCCCAGTCTACATAGTGAGTTCCAGGCCAGATGTCTCAAAAAGCCAAAAAAGAAGATTGGGGTATGGTAGCACACACTTGTAATCCCAGCGCTGGGGAGGTCAAGACAGGTGAATTCCTGGGGCTCATTGGCTAGACATCCTTGCCTATTTAGTAAGTTCCAGGCCACCGAGAGACTCTGTCTCAAAATAAAAAGGGTGGATGACACCTGAGAAACAATGCCTGAGGTTGTCCTCTGGCTTTATACACATGCACATGCACCACCCCCGACATATACACAGAGTAAAAAATATTGAGTAAGCATAGAAGATTAAATATGTGGGCTGAAAAGATGGCTGGAAAGATGGCACCTACTGCCAAGCCTGACCACCTGAGTTCAGTCTCTGGAAACTTTATGATGGCAGGAGAGAACTGACTCCACAAAGTTGTTCTCTGACCTCCATACATGTGCTATGGCATGTGTGTGCCCCCACACATACAAATAAATAAATACAGCAATAATTTTTAAAAAGATTAAATGAGGGCCGGAGAGATGGCTCATCAGTTCAGAGCACTGGCTGTTCTTGCAGAGGATTCAGAGTCAGTTCCCAGCACCCACATGGCAGCTTACAATCACCCATAACTCCAGGTCCAGGGGGACCTGACACCCTGTACTATGGCCCTGATCACTGACCCTCATGCATTCCTGGGCTGGCTCCCTGTGACTTTCTGCCAATCCAGTTTTAGACAAAAATTATTACTGTGCTTGTTGCTTGATTTCCCTGCCTCTTGCCAAAGTGGAGTGGCTAAAGGCCTCTGTGATAAGGGGCCTGGAGGTGCTTCATGTGACAACCTATAAAATACATGGGTCATCCTGCCCATGTTTGCCTATTAAGGCTTCCAAAGTGAACAGTGGCTAATCTAGGTATGGCTTTGTTATACGCTACCTCAGGCACTAACAATGGCTATACTGTCTCCAAGATGGATATATTGACTGGGGATACAGCTCAGGGGTAGGTAGAGCGATGACTTAGCATGCACAAGGCCTTAGGTTCCACCCCCAGTATCATACACACACACACACACACACACACACACACACACACACACAATGGACATAATGAGGTCTGCCATGTCTTGCTCAGTCTGTGGGGAGTGGGCTGTTGTATCCAGAATGAGATCTTAGCGGGGAGCAGAGGGTGTCTACCCAGACCTTCCTATGAGACCAGGGTTGCTGAATCCTCTGATAACTTGGCTGGTTCTCCTAGATGTGCAAAGGACGCTTACCCCCTTTCCCCTGGCTCTGGATTCATCATATCCAGTGAGGTGTCTTTGGTCTCAGGAGTATAACCCACGAGAAAGTTATTCCTGCATTTCCTAAAGTCATGGATTAAAGCTGTAATAATACCAGGACCACCAGGATGGTCCTCATGCTGTGCTGCTATGCGCTGTCCATGGCCACATCCCTAGGTGACAGGCTGGGAGGCTGCACAGCTGGACCTTGGTGTGCTATGGCCCTGATCACTGACCCTCATGCATTCCTGGGTTGGCTACCTGAGACTTTCTGGCAATCCAGTGTTAGGTAAAAATGATTACTGTTTGTCACTTGATTTCCCTGCCTCTTGCCAAAGCAGAGTAGGCTAGAGACCTCTGCTTGTGACAAGGGCCTGGAGATGCTTCATGTGACAACCTGTCAGACACATCTGTCATCTTGTATATGTTTGCCTATTAAGGCTTCCAAAATGAATAAAATGGCTAATCTGAGTGTGGCCTTGCTATATGTTACCTTAGGCTTTGGGAGTAGGACTGTCACTGTGTCCCCCATCTTGTGGGGAGACCTGAAGAAAGGGGGTAGTGGTACAGGGATCAAATCTGTATACTGAGGCCTCAGAAACAGGCTGGTGGGTGCTCCCAGCATTTCTTTGTGGGCCATGCTGCCCTGGGTGACTGTGAGGAGGAGGCCCTGGGTGCTGGACACCATCATGAGTCAACTCAGGTGCCCTGAATGACTGGCATCTTGGCGTGATTCACGGAGCTTCATTTCATCAGTCCAAAAGAAACTTGGTGGCATAGGACTGTAATTTCAGCCCTTAGGAGACTGAGGCAGGAGAATGGTGAGTTTGAAATCAGCCTGAGCTATAGCAAGATCCTGTCTCAAAAAAACATTGAAGGAAAGAATGTACAATGTTGTCTCCTGTCCTCTCCACTCAGCTTGCCCTGGAATCCCCGCTCTTCTCTGAGGCCCCACTGACCTCCAACCTCAATTCCAAGGCACCAGACACCCCACTGTGTTTTCAGCAGAGAACATGGTGATCCTCAGCCACAGCAGAAGCTTCCAGAGCACCTCCTAGGCTGAGATCCCCAGGTGAGTCCTCAGTGCTCCTGGGCACTTCTATGACATGAGATGGCAATTAATCTTACTGGGTGCTGGTCATCCCACCTGGGTATGGCTAGGGCACCCTGGAGCTTGCTCTTTGGTGATATGGCCTGTGGTTTTGGATGCAAAGCCACAAAGTTAAGCCAAGGGGAAACCAATCAAGACCAATAGTGGACTGCCTACAGCCACTCTGTCATTATTGTTCGATATAGGCTTAACATGTTTTAATGTTCCTCTCTGATGTTTCCAACATCCTTGTCAGTTATAAGTCGTTTTCAATTGATTGAGGTTTTGTTTTGTTTTGTTTCATAATGATGGCTTATTATATAGTTCCTTTGTATATCTGGTAATTTGGAGGAGAGGGTTTTTTTTTTTTTTTTAGGCAGGGTTTCATGTAGTCTAAACTAGTTTCTAACTCCCCATATAGCCAAGGATAACCTTGAACTGCTGATCCTCTTGCTTCCATCTCCTGAGTGCTGGGATTGCAGGGGTGTATCACCATACACAGTTTATATGGTGTTGGGAATCAAACCCAGGGTTTAACCCAGTGCATGCTAGCCACTGAGCTCCAACCCCATGCCTGCCTGATAATCTTTAATGGTCGCCAGGCATTGTGGGGTTTTTTCCTCGTTGATTGCCGAATATTTCTTTAGGTATTTTAGGACTTTCTTCAGGGAGGCAATTGAGTTGTAAATAGTTTGGCATTCTTGTTAAGATTTGTTACATGGGACAGTGGGTCACTGGAGGATGAGTTATTCCCCACCACTGAAGCAAGACCCTCCCGAGTGCTGAACCCGATGCCCTGCGGACCTGTGACTTTTCAAGCTAGACAGTGGTCACAAGTGCAATCTTGCCCTGTGTGGGTGTTGGGGAATGTTCCTTTTAGTCCTCTGCAGGGTGGGGATAGCGACTTCTTTGTCTAACCTCATGTCATTTCCTCATGCATGTACTGAACAGTCCTCAGAGTGCCTCTCCCCAGATCTCTGGGTCTTTCTCTGTGAAGCTCTCTTCTCTCCAGGGTGCTGTCCTGTGAGTCTCAGTCAGTTCTCTTGCTCAATGGGACATCTTGGCTCCCCTTTCTTGCTCCCTGTCCCAGAAATAGTCCCTAGGGAGTAAGCTAGGGCGATGAGAGGTCTCACCCCATTGGTTCCCATCAAGGTTTGTGTGGCTTTGCTGTCTGCTGTACAGTGTTTTGTAAGCTATCCTTTGTGTGGCATATGGTGGTATTCAGCAAAACCCACTCTAAATGGGCAGCGTCATTTGGTTTGTTTCAGGTAAGAATTAATCTGGTTTCTGAGCTGGACATGGTGGTACACACCTGGAATCCCAGCACTTGGGAGGTACAAGCAGGAAGATCAGGAGTTCAAGGAAAGCCTTGGCTACATAGCAAATTCAGGGCCAGAACGGGCTACAACAGGCTACATGAGATCCTGTCTTAAAAACAAAACTGGGAGCTGGAGAGATGGCTCAGCAGTAAAGTACTGGTTGCTCAGCCGGCTGTGGTGGCTAATGCCTTTAATCCCAGCACTTGGGAGGCAGAGGCAGAGACAGGTGGATCTCTGTGAGTTCAAGGCCAGCCTGGTCTACATAGTGAGTTTCAGAACAGCTGGGGCTACAGTCTCAAAAAGATCAAAAAAAAAAAAAAAAAAAAAAAACCCAAAACAAAAAAAGAGCATTGATTGCTCTTACAAAGGACCTGAGTTTGGTTCCTGGTATCCATATGGTGGCTAACAACTATGGTAACTCCAGGTCCTGGGGATCAGACACCCTCTTCTGGCCTCCATGGGCATTATATGCCCAGATGTGCTTACTTACATGCAGGCAAAATACTCATATATGTAAAACAAAAATTTTAATTAATAAAAAATTGATTAGTATAGAAAAGAAGAGGGACTGAGAAGGTAGCTCAGTTGGTAAAGTGTTTGCTGCACAAGCACTCAAGCACTGAGTTTGAATCCCCAACACCCACATACAAAGCTGGCTGTGGCAACATGTACCTGTAATCCCAGTGCTGGGGAGGTAGAGATGGGAGGTTCCCTCAAGCTTGCTGGCTAGTCAGTCTAGGCAAATTAGTGAGCTTCAGGTTCAGTGAGAGACCCTGCCTAAAAAATAAAATGGTGGGCAGCTGAGGAATATACTTGATTACACTTGATGTTGACTTCTGGCACCGCCCCCACCACAAATTTTTAAAAAAATCTAGTTTGTGTCTCCCAGTCTTGACCAGAAGCATAATTCCCCTGCAGTGAGGATAAGCCAGCCTCTACTCTGCCAGATCCCTACCTCTGACCACACTCAGGCTGTGCTCGGCTCACATTCCACCCAGGGCTTTTTATTGCTGCGTCATGTCTGACTTCTGGAAACTTCCGTTTATCTCCCATTGCTATGAGAAGAATGCAGCAAAACATGTATTTTTTGTTTGGAAGTCTTAATATTTCTGCCCAGTGAAGCGGTTAAGAATGTGACACTAGCCAATGAAAAATGTCCTCTTGAAGTGACTTTGGAGTCACTTACAGAAAGGCTCACTGTAGTTTGGCCACAGGGTAGGTAAGCACTCAGGAGCCTATGTGGCTAGGAGGAGTTCTGTCCAGTGGCCTTTTGGCTCCCAGAGTCACAGAGAATGCCTCCAGGCTGACCCTGTGCAGAGCTCTGCATCAGTCTGGAGGTGGGACAGCCAGGTGTAGTAGCTCTGGGACAGTGACAGACAGCTTCCGCCTGTGCGCACAGTGTGTGTGAGTCCGATATACGCAAGGATGGGGCTAACTCTGCTCACCAGAGAAGAAGGGAAACTGGAAAGAAGCTGCTGGCCAGAAAATATCTAAGAGTGAGTGTGTGGGTCAGTGTATGCATGAGCTACTGTGTCCAGTGGAGACATTGTGTGAGTGAGCTGCTGAGTGTCTAGTGGGGCACCATGTGAGTTGTTGACTGTGTGTGGTGGGGCATATACAAAGTGTAAGTATGTCATTGGGTATATATGGTAAAGTGAGTATGTATAAATGACCTACAGTGTAACAGTGTTACTGAGTGAGTGCTTAACGTCAGTACTGTGAGTGAGTGTGGAGGATCTACCATGTGTGCTGGGAGTGTGCCTGGGAGGCAGTGTGGGCTGGGGAGGACTGTGTTGTGCCTTGCTCTCCTAAGCCTGGGCACTGCCTACGTGGTCCAGATGATTCCTGGCTGCAGGGTACTGCTCATCCATAGACACTGACTTTGGTGTCAACCTGGCCCTCTCTATAAAACTTTATTTATTTAATTTTATGTGTGTATTTTGGCTGCATATTTGTAGGTGTACCTGACATGCAAAACCTGCAAAAGTGAAAAGAGGGTGTTGGATCCCCTGGAACTAGAGTTACAGACAGGTGTCAATCACCATGTAGGTGCTGGGAACAGATCCTGGGTCCTCTACAAGAGTAGCCAGTGCTCTTAGCCCCTGAGCTATCTTTCCAGCCCCCAATCAGGGTTTCTTGGACTACACATATGACCTTTGAAGCTGAGGATGAGCCATTCTGTGTCCTACATCTACCCTGTGTGTGTTCGTGTCCTGTTCTAGGTCTGTTGTGCTAGGTGGGAGCCTGACATGCCCTTCCTTTTAGAACTGGGACCTTGGGGTGTTCCAAAAGCCTCTCTTCTGTGTTTTTCCAGTATTTTCTAAGCTCCGCTTCCAGCTGACTGGGCAAGTGATTTTCAATAGATCCCTCAGGTACCTGTCCGTCAATGCTTGACAGCCCCATAGGAGAGGGCAACAGCACTGGATAACTGGTAAGAAACCATCATTTGCAGCCCCCATGGTTCACCTGAAGCTGCATCCCTGTGTCAAGAAGACATTTCAGGGACTGTGCATCTCTCTCTGGTCCAGTCTCACCTCAGAGCTACCTGGTAAATTCCTTGAGTTCTAGGAATTGACACTTGGCTTTTTCTCCTACCAACTGTGCCAGGCTGGTGTGTGTGAGGTGGCTGTAGTGCCTGAGACACTGGCTTTATCTTTTGGGGATGTCAGGGTTTGAAAAATTCTGATGACCGAAAAGTGTGTATAAACAGAAGCCGCCACCCTCCTGCTGGCTGCTGTCACTGTTGTGTGCATGTATTTTAAATGTGTTGAACAGCCAATAAATAGCCTTACACCATAGGAGCTTCAAACTATGCCACAGGCTTGCTTTTGTATGTGTATGTGGGGTGTATATGCATATATGTATACAGATGCATTCACCTGTACGTACATATGTGGAGGTCAGAGGCCGACATCAGGTGTTTTCCTCTACCTTATTTGTTGAGACAGGGTCTCTCATTGGAGCTAGTTCTTTCAGCTAGACTGGCTGGCCAATGAGCTCCCAGGATCCGACTGTCTCTGTACTCTCCCCACCCCTACTCCACTGGGATTACAGGCACCTAGCTTTTTAGCTGGGTGCTGGGTATTTGAACTTTACCCACTGAGCCATTTCTCAGACCCTCAGATTACTTTTATGTAGGAAAAACCCCTTACTTTTAAAATAAAACATGTTCCCCTTGCCACTCCCGCAAAGACTATTTGGAAAGAATCCAACTGAAGCCAATGGGGTGTTATGGGGAAGTATTTCCAACACAGCCCCAGCCTGCCTCCCCTGACTGAGGATAACTCTGTGGGGGCTGCTTTCAGTGACTGGCTTCTTTCTCCACAACAGGAACCCCCTGGCCAATCTCCTGCAGAGCCCAGTGAGTTTCTCTATGAAGATGGAATTGGATGGGAGCTCCTCAACCCCCCAAGAAGCCATTGCTCCTCATGGGGCACCTGGTGCTGGGCCTTCTCCACTGGGGAAGCCTCAAGCACTGCCCATCGGGTCAGGTCCCCACCGAGGGGCTCCTGGCAGCCCAGCTGTAGCAGGGGACATCCCCTTAGGTGAACCAAGTGGCATGAAGATCCCCAACCGGGACAGTGGGATTGACAGCCCATCCTCCAGTGTAGCTGGTGAGAACTTCCCCTGTGAGGAGGGCAGTGAGGGCTACCCAGGACCTGCCATTCTGAGACTGCACCCTGAGGCAGCTGTGGACAGCCAGGCCCCACAAGACACCCCCCAGAAGGAGACGGACAGTGGCCTTGGCAAGGGGCCTGATTCCAAGATCACCCCTCCCAAGGCCAACGAGGATGCCAGCCTGGCTCAGGTAGGCCTTTCCTTCCTCCACTGCAAATGCAGGGTGTCTGGGGTTCCCTGGGAGGGGCTGGAGGTTGGTGGTATGTGACATCCATACCTCGTGCTCAGGAATGGTATGTACATATTTGCTCCACACATGCAGAACTCCTGTGATGGGATCTGCCAGGAAAGGCAGTCTGGGCTCCCTGACACCTTGGACATGCTCATTCATGATACTGGCATGTGGTTTCCTCCTCTTCGATTTTTCATAAAGAGTTTTCATTGATTGTTGTTAATTTTTCTTTAAATGTTTGGTAGAATTCTCCAGTAACATAATGGGTCCCGTTTTCTCTGTTGGGAATTACTGGTTGCTTGTTCGTTATCATCCATCTTCTCAGGTATTTTATTTCTTTGTTATTCAGCCTTTATAGCTAAGTGTTTCTGAGGACTTATTTTTTCTAGGTTGTGAAACCCATTGGCGTGTAATTGCTCATATATTCTCTTACAGCCTTTTTATCTTTATGTCACCAATTTCTGACTTTAAGAATTTAGCCGTCTTTCTTTTTCTCTGTTAACCTAGATAAAGCTTGTATGTTTTGTTGATCTTTCAGAAAGCCAACTTTGGCTCGGTTGGTTTTTTTCTATTGTTTTTCCATTCTCTGTGTCATTTATCTTTGTTCTCATCTTTCTTACTTCCTTCCTTCTTCAAGCCGTGCCTTGGGCTTAGCTTACTCATGTTTTTCTAGTTTCTTGACAGGTAAAGTTAGGTTGTTGCTTTAAGATTTTATTTTTTATATAGTTTCTTCTTTTTCTGGGGCTGGGGATGGAATCGAGGGCCTTGTACACACTAGACAAGTGCTTTATCAATGTAAAATGTTCTAAGAAGTTCTTCTTCTTTTGAGACAGAATCTCACTATTTGCCTTTGGCTGGCCTAGAACTCACTATGTAGACCAGGCTGGCTTTGAACTCACAGAGATCTGCCTACCCCTGCCTCCCAAGTGCTGGGACTAAAGATGTATACCATCACACCCAGCTCTTCTTTCTTTCTTTAATTGTCTTGAGTGTGTATACATGTGGTGTGCATGCCTGTGTGTATGCATGTTCACGTGTGCAGGCATACATGTGTGTATGGATGCATGTGCACATGTGTGTGTGCATGTGGAGATATTGGGTGTTGTCCTCGATCACTCTCCACTTTATTTATTGAGGCATGATCTCTCACTGAACCAGAAGCTCTCCAATGTGGCTAGTGTAGCCAGCCAGCTTGCTGGGGATCCTATGTCACTGCCTCCTGAGTGTAGTAGTAAAAGTGTATCACTTAATTTTCCTGTATCTGTGGATTTCCTTATTGTCTTCTGGTTTTATTCCATTGTGACCGGAAAAAATGTTTTGTACAATTTTACCCTTCTTGAATTTCTTAAGACTTGTTTTGTGTCTACATGTGGCCTATCCTGAAGAATGTTTGTCACATGTTGTGGTGTTCTTGTGGGTGTGTTCTGTTAGGCACCATTCTGTATAATGTTGTTCAAGGTCTCTAATTTCTTATTGATCTTTGTCTGGTTGTTCTAGCCATATAAAAAGTGGGGTATCAAAGTTTCTAGCTATTAATTTGTTACCAGCTGTTCCCCCATCCATTCTTTCACAGTTTGATTGATACATCGTTATACCTTCTTGCTGACTTTTTAATCATTATATAATACTTTTTGTAATTTTTTTTACCTAATTAAAAAAATGTTTATTTTGGCTGGGCATGATGGCACATGTCTTTACTCTTTCAACAGGAGGCAAATACAAGTAGATCTCTGTGAGTTTGAGGCCAACCTGATTTACATAGCAAGTTCCAGGTCAGCCAGGGTTACATAGTGAGACCCTATCTTAAAAAACAAAACAAAAGGAGCTGGAGCAATGACTCAGTGGTTAAGAACACTGGTTGTTCTTGCAGAAGACCTAGGTTGGAATCCCAGCACCCACATGGCAGCTAACAACTGTCCATAACTCCAGTCCCAGGGGATCTGACGGCCTCTTCTGACCTCTGCGGGCATTGCATGACACAGGTGCACTTACCTACATGCAAGCAATACATGCATACACATAAAATAAAAATAATAAATAAAGCCGGTTGTGGTGGCAGGTGGATCTCTGTGAGTTCAAGGCCAGCCTGGTCTACAAAGTGAGTTCTAGGCCGGCTGGGGCTATAGGGAGACCCTGTCTCAAAAAGACCAAAAATAAATAAATAAATAAATAAATAAATAAATAAATAAATACAACAAAAAATATTATTTATTTTACTTTGTGGGGTGGTGGGGTGGGGGCTGTGTGAGCATAGGGGTGGAGGTCTGAGGACAACATTGTGGAGTTGGTTTTCTCCTTCTACCATAGAGGTCCTAGGGTTTGAACTCAGGTTGTCAGGTTAGTGACAAGTGACTTTATCAGCTGAGCCATCTCCCTGGTTCTCATTTTTTACTTCAAAGTTTGCTTGCTACGAATATGGCTGCTCCTGCTCTTTTGGTTACCATTTGCATGGGATAGCTTCCCTCATCCTTAGCCTGTGTCTTTATATGCAAAGATGCAAAATGAGTCTCTTGTAAATAAAATATAAAAAAGGAGGCATGGCAGTACCTCCTTTTAAGTCTAAATTCATTCTCAGCTACATAGGGAGTTTGAGGACTATCCAAGCTACATGATATCCTGTCTCAAAAAAATTCAAAATAAAACAACATAAAATTAATTGGATGCTGTTTTTGTTGTTGTTTGTTTCTTGGTGCCTGGGATCAAACCCACAGTTTCATGCATGTTAGGCAAGTACTGTACCATTGAGCAACACTCCCAGGCCTGGATGGTGTGTGTGAGACAGGCTCTCACTGTGTACCTCAGCCTGGCCTGGAACTTGCTACATAGCCTGGACTGACTTACACTCTGTCTTCCTGCCTTAGTCTCCATGAGTGCTGGGATTACGGATATGTGCCACCACACCCAGCTTTAGCAGTTTTTAATTCATTCAGTCAATTTGTGTATTTTTTTTTCTGAGGAGGTTTATACATTTACATATGAAGTAATTACTGATAGGGAATGACATGTGAAAGCCACCCCTAAAATTGCTGTGTGCCCAGTCACCTTTTATTTTGCCAGGCATGATGGCCCCCACTTTTTTTTTTTGTCTTTTTGAGACAGGGTCTCCCTGTAGCCTCAGCTGACCTAGAACTATGTAGACCAGGCTGGTCTTGAACTCACAGAGATCCACCTATCTCTGCCTCCTGAGTGCTGGGATTAAAAGCATGGGCCACCATGCCCTGCTCCTGGTCACCATTTGTATCTCTCTTTTCCTCTCTTACTGATATGTAGTGACATAGTTCAATTCTCTTCTAATTTCCTTTTGTAGATAGTCTATAGATATCTTATTTGTTGTTACCATGGTAATTATTAAAACATTGGAAAGTTATAGCATTTGATTTGAAACTAGCACAAAACTCATTTTTCTACTAGTTCCTCTTTGTGCATCACTGATATTACAAATTCATCTTTATATATTATAGATGCACACAAAGTTAAAGTTTCTTTTACTATTTCTTTAATGTGTACAAGTGCATTGCCTGCATGCATATAAGTGTATCTGTGTCTTGCAAAGCCCACAGAGGTCAGAAGAGGGTGTCAGATTCCCTGGAACTGGAGTAACATATGGCTGTTAGCTGCCATGTAGGTGCTTGGAATTGAACCTGGGTCTTCTGCAAGAACAGCCTGTGCTCTTAACTACTGAACCATCTCTCCAGCCCTCAGAGTTTCTTTTATTATTTCTTGAGATGGTCCCACTATGTAGCCCAAGCTGACCTCAAACTCATAATTGTCTTAGCCCCTAAGCATTGGGATTACAGGTGTGCTATGACACCCAGTTTTTATGGTGCCAGAATTGAACCCAGGTCTTCATACATGCAAGTACTCTATTAAGTGAACTACATCCCATCCCCATCCTACCACTTCCACTTGAAGGACTCCTTTTCTCATTCTTTTTAAAAAGAGTTATTTATTTTACTCATGTGTTTATATGCATGTGTCTGTGCACATATGTGTGTGTACATGAACCTCTGCACACAGAGACCAGAAGGCATCAATGTCCTCCTCGACGACTTTCTGCATATTCCTTTGAGGCAGGGTCTCTCCCTGAACCTGGAGCTCATATTTTCTGGACTAGGCTTGAAGTCACCAAGCTCTAGTGATCCTCCTATGTTCCTCTCCCTCAGAGCTGGGGTTACAAGTGTGTGTGCGACACTCAGCTTGATGGTATCTGAATTCTAGTCTTTATGATTGCACAGCAACCCTTCTTAACTGATGACCTATCCTCTATCCCCAAGACACACTCTGTCTTCTTCTGTAAAGCAGGTCTAGTGGTAGTGAACTCCCACAGCTTTTGTTTTGTTGGGAAAGTCTTTTTAAACAAACAAACAAACAAACAAACAAACAAACAAACAAAAAAGATCTCACAATGTAGCTCTGGCTGACCTAATACTTTGTAGATCAGGCTGGCCTTAAACCCACAGCCTGCCATTTCCTCCTCAGTGCTGGGATTGAAGGCATGTGCCACCATGCCTAGCTTTGGGAAAGTCTTAATTTTTCCAGTTGCCTAATATATATCCTTAGTTAACACTGTTTTCTCTCAGGACTCTTTTTAAAAAATATTTTATTTATTATTTTTATTTTATGTGTATGGGTATATTGCCTGCATGTAGGTAAGTGTACCCCTGTATTGCAATGCCCATGGAGATCAGAAGAGACTTTCAGATCCCCTAGGACTGGAGTCACGGACAGTTGTTACCTGCTATGTGGGTGCTGGGATTTGAACCCCGGTCTTCTGCAAGAATAGTCAGTGTTCTTAACTGCTGAGCCATCTCTCCAGCCCCTCTCTCAGCACTCTTAACATATCATCCCACTCCCTCTGGACTCCAAACTTTCTAGAAACTTTTTTGACATTTTACTTATTTATGTGGGTTGGGGGAACATGCACATTTGACACACTCATGTAGAGGTCAGAGGACAACTAACTTTCTACCATGTGGGTCCTGGGGATGGAGCTCAGGTTGGCAGGGCTTGGTGTAGGCACCTTTACCCAAATTTTCCCTTGAGAAATCCTCTCGCAATCTTATGAAATCCCTTGTGTATGAGACAAACTGCTTTTCTTGTGCTGCTTTTAATGTTGTCTTTGACTTTTAGACCATTTGGTTATAGACCCCCCTCCCTGTATGTGTGTGAGTGTGTGAGTGTGTGTGTGTGTGTGTGTGTGTGTGTGTGTGTGTGTGTGTGTGTGTTTTATAGGATTTCTCCCTCTATGTAGCCCGGGCTCGCCTTAAACCTACCATCTTCTGATCTCAGCCTTATACCAGGATTATGAGCATAAGGTGCCCCCCATCGCTGGATCTTTCTTTATTAATCAGACTTCTTAAAACTTCTTGAATGTTCCTGTATGTTCATTTATTTCCTCAGATTTGGGAAGCCTTCAGTCACCATTTCTTCGGATGAATCCTCTGCCTCTCTCTGTCTCTCATCCTCTGTGACTCCCATATGTAGACCTTGGCTTTGCTGGTGGAGTTCCCTGTCTCTTAGACTCACTTTGCTTTTCCTCATTCTTTCTTGTTTTGAGTCTTGTTTCTGACTCTGACCTTAAGTGATGTCTCTTCAAGTTTGCCGGTTTTTCTGCTGTTTAAGTCTGTGGATGACCCTCTTTATGAGTTTCACAGGTTCCTCAACTCCAGGATGTCTGTTCCATTCTTATATACGATTTTGTTTTTATCTTTGTTGATGCATCATGTCTTGATTTTTGTTTTCTTGTTTGTGTCTTGTTTAAAGTCTTTACGGATATTTATGGCAAATATGTGAGCTTTTTTCTCAAGCAACTCACAGATCTGTGTTTCTTTATGTGTTCATGTATGTGTTCATATCTATGTGGATGCACATACTTATGTGTGAACTTGTGTGTGGAGGACAGAGGATGACCCCAAGTGTTGTTCTTTACGCACCATCCACTTTGGTTTTTTGAGGCAGTGTCTTTCCTTGGGACCTGGGACTCACCGATTACTCTAGGCAGGCTGACCAGTGAACCCCAAGAATCTACCTGTCTCTACCTCCCCAGTGCTGGAATTACAAGTGCATGCCACCATGCCTGGCTTTTTATCTGGGTGCTGGGGATCAAACTCAGGTTCTCATATATGTATGGCAGGCATTTTACTGACTGGGCCATTTCTCCAGCCCCAGATCTGTGTTTCTTTAGGGCCAGTTTTGGGGGTTTGGTTTGTTTCTCTGAGTGGGCCACATTATCCTGCTTCTTTGTTTATATATGTATGTATGTATGTATGTATGTATGTGTGTATATGTGTATATTATACATATTGACTGGAATTGGAACATTTGAAGAAATCACCTCTCCTAATTGTGTGCTGGCTTTGTATAGGGAAAGACAATCAGCACAGCTGGAGGCCACAGAGCCTCTCAAACCCCCTTTGACCCCTAGATCCTTGGCATCTGCCCAAGTAACTGGAACTCTAAAGGGCTGCTAGCCTTTATTTTAGTGGTGTTCGTTCACACTCTGCTTCTGGACTCATCTGCATTCTACTCAGGCAAAACAGAATCCACAGTCCCAACTACCTTGGGCAGTCCTCAGAGGAGCAAGAGCTAAGCGTACCTAGTTAAGTCCTCTGTTTCCATCCTGTGGGAGGAGCCCTGGTGTGGGAGGAGCCCTGGTGTGGGAGGAGCCCTGGTGTGGGAAGTTGTCTCTCATGCTGCATAGGGAGAGGAACATTGAAAGGCATTGCTGTATTGAATGTGCACCACAAAATCCATCTGCCAAAATCTCATCACCAATGTGATGATACACCTCCTTTAGGAGGTGATTAAGTATTGAGGATGGAACTCTCAAGGATGAAATCAAGGGCCCCATAGAAGGTTGGGAGGAGAGTCTGGGGATGTAGCCCATCCGCAGAGTTCTTGCCTTAGTGTGTGTCAAGCTCAGGGTTCAGTCACCAGAATTGCACAATAAAAAAAGAGAGGAAAGGAGTTTGTGGGTTCCTTCTGCCACTTGAGGATGCAACATTCGTCCCTCTTCATTTTCTACCCCTTCCATCTTTGAGTGCAAGCACAGGAGTCACCATTTTGAAACAGAGACTTGTGATTTCACCAGACACCAAACCTGCTAGTGCTTTGATCTTGGACTCCCAGCCTCCTTAACTGTGAAGTAAATTTCAGTTGTTTATAAACCTTCGTTCACAGGCATTTCCTTATCTACCAAACAAGTGGACAAAGACAGGCACATTTAGTACCATCAATTTTGCTACACCTTCCCAAGGGCTCCCTTCTTAACTTTATACATGTAGGTGCTGTAACTTCTCAGCTGGCATCTCCAGTTCACATAAGTTTTCTGGCCCATGTATTGTTCTGTGTTTCTGTGGAGGAAGAGGAAGAAGGGCCAACAGCTTCCTAGCCCACTATCTTGTTGATATCACTGAAGTAGGTGTGTGTGTGTGTGTGTGTGTGTGTGTGTGTGTGTGTGTTTTGTTGGCAGTGAAACCCCAGGCTTTGTGCGTAGTAGGCAGATGTTCCTCCACTGAGCCACACCCCAACCCTGTAGTGGATTCCGATGTGGATGCTATGACTGATCTGTAGTTAAAGCTCCAGGAAGGTAGAGTCTCATCTGTAGCCTCTGGGAGATTGGCAGAAAGTGACGTACTTTTCTAGAATCCTCCATGGAAATAGCATCTAAGAGAACCTAGTACTACACCCTGGACCCAGCAGCCTCCTTCTGTCCCCCTGTCCCCTGGGCAATCTGGTGCACCACGGGTAGGTTTCTTCAGGTGCGCACCCCCCAGGTAAACTGTTTCCCTTCTCACTGCAGTGCTCCGACTCACAGAAGCTGTTCCACATTGCCCAGGAGCTCTTGAGCACAGAGGAGGCGTATGTGAAGCGGCTGCACCTGCTGGACCAGGTAGGCCACAGGGCTGGGAACTCACTTCTGTCCACACCCAGGATTCAGTGGGCAGTTTCAGAAGCAAACTATGCATCCCTTCACATTGGCTGGGCATTATGCTTCCAGTAGGAATGACATATACTAAAATTCAGATAAAGTGAAATCTGGATTGAACACTTTCTTTTCTTCCTCAGTGCTTGTGGTTCTGGGGCAGAACTTTTATCTGTTCACCTTTGGGGACATTTCTTCATGGCATGAATGGCTGCTGGGACCTGAGGAGATGACTCAGTTGGTAAACTGCTTGCTTTACATGCAAGAGGTTTGATTCCCAGAACCCATACAAAAATGCCAGGCATGGCCAGGTGTGGTGGTGCACACCTTTAATCCTAGCACTCGGGAGGCAGAGGCAAGCGAATCTCTGTGAATTTGAGGCCAGCCTGGTCTACATGGTAAGTTCCAGGCCAGTTAGGGCTACAGGGAGACCCTGTCTCAAGCCCCACCCCCCAAAAAACCCAAGGGACTGGAGAGATGGCTCAGCAGTTAAGAGCACTGGCTATTCTTGCAGAAGACCTGGGCTCAAATCCCAGCACTCACATGGCAGCTAATAACTGCCTGTAACACCAGTTCCAGGGGATCTGATGCCTCTTCTGGCCTCCAAGGGCATTGCACAATGTGGGTGCACTTATACACGTGCAGGCAATACGTTCATACATAAAATAAATAAACAAAAAAAGAAAAATAAAAACCAAAGAACAAAAATCAAACGAAACAAAACACAAATTCCAGCAGCCATGTAAAAAGCACACACATGTAACCAGAGCACTATGGGAGACAAAGACAGGAGGATTATTGGCTTGCTTGCTGCCAGCCAGATTCAGTGAGAGACCCTGCCTCAAGGGAATATGGTGGAGAGTGTGGAGCAGGAAATCAATGTCTTCTGCTAGCTTCTGTATGTGCACACACATGTGCATGCACCACACACATTCACACTCACACACTATAAAACAAAGTAGAATAAATATTTAAAAATTAAGGAAACCCAAGCATTCACTCCTCTGGCAGATGTCCATGGTAGCCCACGCTCAGTGGCCATTGTGGACTTCTCTGTGCCCAGGTTTTCTGCACCAGGCTGACAGAAGCAGGGATCCCTCCAGAAGTCACCACTGGCATCTTCTCTAACATCTCCTCCATCTACCGATTCCATGGGCAGTTCCTGCTGCCTGAGCTACAGACACGGATCACCAAGGAGTGGTGAGTGTGGTCCATGGCCACCCATAGGGCCCCTAAACTTGGAGTTCATCTGCCTAGATTCCTAGCAGGTACTGGGGTGGGAGCTGTCTTATGATGACTGGGACACCTCCTTTTCCTGCGAGGTCCTGGGTCCAAATCCCAGCTCCGCCTCTTCCTGGCTGGTGATCCTGACTGGTCACTTCCTGTCTCTAAGCTTTTGCATCTGAATGAGATTTGACATCTGGAAAAAAGAACAGTGAGCACTGTCGATGGTTTTATTTTCCCTCCTAGTTTGTTTCCTTTACTTTAAAAAAGGACATTTCTCCCCAGCAGTGAGACCTGCTCCTCCACATTCTTCTACCTAGTTTTAAATTTTATTTTTTTTCATTTTGTTTTGTTTTATGTGTATGAATGTTTTGCCTGAATGGATGTAAGTGTACCACGTGTGCATGCAGTGCCTGCTGAGGCCAGAAGACGGTGTTGGATCCCCTGGAACTGAAGTTATGGATGATTGTGAGCCACTATGTGGGTGTTGGGAATTGAACCTGTGTCCTCTGCAAGAGCAGCCAGTGCTCTTAACTGCTAAGCCATCTCTCCAGCACCTTTCTGCCTGTTGTTAGTAGAAGCTGCATGCCACAATTAATGCAATGACACAGTCAAGGGCCCAGATTGCCAGTTCTCACCATGTGTCCCTACATTCCAGGAAGCTTGAAGTTTGCTCACTATCCTTTGCAAGCCTGGCATCTCCTTCCTGTTACCTGAGTTTGGCTTGGGCAGGGGCTTTGTGTCTTGTCAGCTTTGTCTTGGTATGTGGCTGGGCCACTTTGTGAATCTTCAGGACAGGGTCCATCTGTAGAGCAGGTATCACTGTATCCCTAAGGCTGTCAGGGCTGGGTGTGGCCTGATGACAAAGTCCATGTCTGACAGCACAGGCTCTCTCCTTCTATTCCCTCGAGACCCTACCATAAGTGTGCGCAGGACCTCCTCAGTCCTTTAATAACAATGCACTGGGCCCAGCTGCTTGCCTGACATCCCCAGTTGTTCAACTTACAAATCACACCTGTGTGCACAGTTTCGTAGCAGTACCCCAGTGGTAACTTTATGCCTGTGTCTTTTTTCTTTGATTTTGATAATTTACTGCAAACAAATCTCCAACATAGAGTTCCAAAATCAAAGATTATTGTGTGACTCTTCCTGTGGAGACGTAAACAAATGTCTGCCCACTCCTGATAAATACTGATAACAACAACAACAACAAAAATTTCAGGGACTGGAGAGATGGCTCAGTGGTTAAGAGCACTGACTGCTCTTGCAGAGGATCAGGGTTTGATTCCCAGAACCCACATAGTAGCTAACAACCATCCATAACTCCAGTTCCAGGGGATCTGATGCCTTCTGAGCTCTGTAGGCATTGCACGACACAAATGTACTTACATACATGCAGGCAATACACTCATACACATAAAATTTAAAAAAATAATAAAAGGATTCCATCAAAGCCTCGCTTAGTTGAACCAGTGAGTGTACTGGGGTTACTTACAGGAGCATGGGTGACTTAAGGCAGCTCTAGCAGAGGAGGACTAGTGAAAGCTGCATCCCTAGAGCTCCATGCATAGCCTGAATGCGCTTAGCTGACTGAAAAGTCTTCTCTCCCCAGCAACTGTTATTGCTTATTCACCCTTAGGGAGGGACCTTGTGAACATTGTAAGTTTCAGGAACTTCTGCAGTTCTGTTCACTTCCTGAGTCTTGTAAATTCTGTGCACTTCCCAAGTCTTAATAAGCAAAGTCCTCTTCTCCCTTTAACTTTGGCAGTACTGTATAGATCATCTTTTTTTTTTTTTTTTTTTGTCTTTTTGAGACAGGGTCTCCCTGTAGCCCCAGCTGGCTGGAACTTGCTTTGTAGACCAGGCTGGCCTTGAACTCACAGAGATCCGCCTACCTCTGCCTCCTGAGTGCTGGGATTTAAAGGCTTATGCCACCACACCTGGTTATAGATCCATCATTTTTTAACAAAAGATTTATTTACTTACTCTGTGTGCCTGCATGAGTTTATGTACATAAAATGCATGCAGGTACCCACAGAGGTGAGAAGGCATTGGATCCCATAGAACTGAAGTAATAGGCAGTTTACCCTGATGTGAGTCCTGGGAACCAAACCACAGTCCTCTGCAAGAGCAGTAAGCTCTCTTAACCATTGAGCCATTCTCCAGCCCAGACCCATCATTTCCAATCTGTTCATTTTGAATGGCACTGCACTGATCTTTGATAACTGAAGCCTATCACTCAAGGGGCAGCACCACTACTAAGACCTCCATCTCCTGCGTTTAGACTCTGGTCCTCAATCCGTACTGTTGACAAGTTTATAGATACTCTCTCTTTTGGTTGCCAGTAACACTATTTCTAATCCCCAAGACATAGGGGATGAAATAGGCTCAGAGAGGGGATTAGTGTGCTCGCCATCACACAGTACTAGGAGCCAGCCCCGTCTCACCCAGGCTGTGTCTCTGAGGACCTTACTCCTCTACTCAGGGACACAAACCCTCGACTGGGAGACATCCTGCAGAAGCTTGCTCCATTCCTCAAGATGTACGGCGAGTATGTCAAGAACTTCGACAGGGCTGTTGGGCTGGTGAGCACGTGGACCCAGCGCTCTCTGCAGTTTAAGGAGGTCATCCACAGCATCCAGGTAGGTGGCTGCAGGAGTGTAACATACGAATTTTTTTTTTTCGCTTCAAAAGATTTGTGGTTGTTATTTATTTATTATTTATTTATTTATTTATTTATTTATTTAGAGGGAGAGAGAGACAGAGACAGAGACAGAGAGAGAGAGAGAGTTTCATGTAGCCCAGGATGAGCTAGAACTCCTGATCCAAGTTCTGGGATTACAGGCATGCACCACCTCACCCAGCTTACAAATATTATCTTTAATCATCAAAACAACACAAGATTGATATTTGGTGCCAGTTTAACAGAAAAGTAACTGCAGGTAATTGGTAGAGCCAGAACTTGAACCCAATTCTGTCTGTTTCCAAAGTCTTAACTATCACAGCTAGAATTTCTTTCATCACGTATATAACACAACCAGTTGGCAGATTTCAGAGATGAAACCCAGAATGGGCATTTTTTAAACAGCCACATTAATGTAAGGGAAGCATTCAACTTCCCTACTTTACAGTGAGTTCTTTAGTGTTTCACAGGCTTAAAGGAAAATTAGATTTGCAGGACCGGAAAAAAAAAAAAAAAAAAAACTTTGAAAAGGA